TATTTTTGAAATTCCATTTTGAGGAGAAAGCCGGATTGCTTTTTGAAACCTGACGGGGACTGTTGATACGGAGGGGAAAACCTAGGTAGGGGGATGTCCCTTCGGTTGCTTGCCTGCTGAGGGAGACCTTCAATGGGTTCGAAGGGGGCTTGGTCAGAGGGGCTGCATCTCTTTCTGCCTGGAGCTCCTGAAGGAGAGAAGTGGGGGGTGGTGGCTTTTCTCTCAGGGGGTGGGGAGAGGGGGTTGGGAGGGGGAGGAAAGTGTTAGGAGTTTCATCGGAGGAGTTGCGTTGGGCCACGGTTGGGGTTTTATTGATTCTGGTTTTTATTTTTTTGTATAATACTATTCTATGGTTGTGAGCCTCCCAGAGTTCTAGTTTTAAGATGGATGGCTGTATTTTAAATATTTTAAATAAATATAAATAAAATGCTATTGTCTTTGTGGGTTTTGCTGTAGATGAGTTCATAGCTGACCACCGTAGGCAATGAAATCAATGCCGAAACAGAAACAAAAAATAAGCATATATCTAAAGGTTTGTAAGGTGGAATAAAAGGAAGTTTTATTCCTTGCTCTTTACACTCAATGCTGCCTTTAATTCTCTGCTCCGGGAGCTGTGGCACCCATTTCTACAGTCACCATGCCCTCCGCGCTAGTGCTCACCCGTCGCCACTCGCTCCCGCTGCCCAGGATAACCGAGGGGATGCCGCCCGAAATCGGCTGCAGGGCTGCGAGGGAGCCCGAAATGCCACGGCAGCGCGTGGGTGGACGGGGAAGGGAGCAGCCCGGCTCGGAGCGCCTCTCCCTTGCGGCGAGCCGCTTCCTCAGCCCACGGGCGGCGTCGAGCAGCTCCGGCTTTCCGGGCGCCCCTCTCGTGCTCGTGGCAAGGGGAGCAGAGTGCTTGCAACCTGCCGAAGCCCGAACGTGGGGCGGACGTGTGGCTTCCGGGACTGCCCTGTTTCAGCGACCGGGAGGGAGAGGCGGGTCCCCCAGGTTGCTCGTGCCCCGCATCCCCGAAGGAAGAAGGTGGCCGCGGTTCTTCGCGCCCGGCCTCAGTGGCTTCAGCCTCGAGACGATTGCTTCGAATCGGTTTGCGGTTGGGTTTCAACGGAAGAAAGGCAGCTGCCTGGAGCCTCGCCCCGGACTCCCTTTCTTCGGAAGTTCCAGGATGGAGCCTGTAAGCGCCCAACCCCCAGAACTTCGCCTTACCCGTAGCGAGACCACGCCCACACCCGCCCCGGGGCTGCACGGAGCCACAGCCGAAGGGAAAAGCCCACGGCTGACACTTGTAACATCCTGGGAAAGAACCAGCTCCTCTCTGGACCCTGGACCGCCGAGTTCTCCTGCTGAACTGGGGAGGTGGACCGAAACCCAGGCGGAGGGAGCACCCCCAAATTCCTTTGTGCTGGTCAGCATCCAGAGACTGCGGTAGGCAGCCAGCCCCACCGAGACCTCATTCTGTAGGGTTCTTTCCCTGGGGGGCATTCCCTCCGCACCTGTCCCAGCAAAGATTAGATTAAAAAAAAAAACAAATTAAAAATCTTCCAGGTGTTTTCAACAAGTGTATCATAGGCTGGTAGATCTCTGAGCTAGGGCCTTCCACACCACCCCAAAGGTGCTGTGTTCAAACTCGCAGGGCTATAAGGAAGACATCACCGAGGCTAATTCAGGCATAATGCTAAACCATGGTTGTAGAATAAACCCCGAGTGGCTGATTAACGGGAATACGGAGCCCCAAAACATGGTTTCTAAACCACCACGCTGGCAGCCATGTCTCTTGGCAAGGACATCTCAGCCTTGGCCCCAGTGGGTTGCCACCCATAGGATTCTGGTGTGGACGCCCAGGACAGGGGTGTCTGTCTATCTGTCTGATTCTCCCGGGGCTGCCTCCTCCAGATCACAAAGCGGTTGCGACACAGGCAAGTGAGCCCCCACTTTCCTTAGAGCACAATCTTGCCCTGTGGGGCCTTTTAGGGCAACCCGGCTCCTGAGCCACAATTAGCCCAAGAGCCAAAATAGGGCTCTTTCTGCTCCCTTCCCCACTATCTTATGTGCACATGTCAGCTACACCCATGGCTGCCTGTGGCCTTGTCATGGCTAGTGAGCACTGATAGCCAGCTGCCTCCCTGGCTCAGCACGTAATCCTGCCCTTGCCCTGTCTATGGAGAGTCCCAGTCATCCAGGTCATGGTCATCCCCGAAGGTGCTTTTTCAGCTTCTTGGATGAGAAGTGAAACGTTTTCAAAGAAAAGCCCAGATGCCTCTGGAAAGAGCGCCTTTGGGGCGGCCCTTGCCATGCCTCATGGTGGGGAGTTGAAAGCAGGATGTGGGCATGAGTGATGCTGCAGCAGGAAGCCAGAAGTCAGGCAGCGACTCCCGCCCTAAGGAAGGCATTTGGGTTCATTGGGGGATTTCCTGGGAAACCCTAGTTGAGAAGCGAAGGCAGCCAGGAAGTGCCTGGCCCTTTGCCTTCAGCTCCCAGAAGCTGCAGCAGAGAAGCTGTCCGTCTTAGCAGGTCAGGTTGGGAAGACCGGGAGGCCCAGGTCCCTCCTGTGGCCTCCTGTCCTGGCCGTATGAAGGGGCTGTGTGTCGGGAGAAGCTGATCCTGTCCAGGGAGGACTGGGGGCTCCTCCTCTGTCCTCATCTCCCCTCCCCAAGCAAACTACTTTGCTTGTGTCACTCCCCGGCCTGCTGCTATTTTTAGCTGGCACTGGGTTTTTAATAGAACTACCTATCTATTCCTGTCCATCCATCCATCCATCCATTTGTTTGTATCACACCTTTTAAAATTATTGTTGCAAATAACTGAAAGGAGAGAGAGAGAGAGAGAGATGGAGGGTGGGAGAGAGAGACTAGCTTAAAGTAACCCAGCTGGCTTTCATGCATAAGGCAGGACTTGAACTCACCATCTCTTGGTTTCTAGCCTGGTGCCTTAAGCCCAAGACCAAATTGGCTCTTAAGGGTTTTAATAGAAAATCAAAGAAACATAAGTACATAACACTTCATTCAGATTAGGTAAGTCAAAAATAGTTTCTTCAACTGCAGGTTAAGGGAAGAATTGGTGGCTGAAGTAGTTCCAGTTCAAACAAACTGAGGCAGGTCAAACCATCTTCCTGCCCAACCCAAGTTTGGAAAGTTGCAAGCACGAGAATGTCACAAGAGGCATACAAAGTGTGAGAAAAAGACAAAGTGTGAGATTCTTTGTGTTGCTTTTCTTGGCCCCACGCTGGGCAGCAGGAGACTCCTGGCCCCATTTTGCCCCCCCCCCCCCACGCCAACCCATGTTTGGACGCTCTTTCACAAGGATGTGGCTAGCCCAGTGCAGTGACCTCAGCCTCAGTGAGCAACCCGGCAGCCACAGAGCCGAACTGCCCGGTGAGAAAGGGTGACACACGGCCCTTGAGCCCTATGGGTAGAACAGGAGTGCCTGAGCCAGAGGGGCATTCAGGGGTCAAGAGGGAGAAAGCAAGTGGTGACCAATCCGGCTCCCTCAGCTGACCTGCATCACAAGGCTCTTTTGAAATCAGGGGGGAGGGAAGGGTGGGTTCCTCTTTCGCTTCCCTGGAGAGTTTCAGGATCCCATTGTCAAGCAAGTACTAGAACCATGGTATATGACCATGGTTATGAATACATGAAATGGAGACAATAGGACAGGGGCGGTAGGCACGTTGGGGCGCTTATGCCCGCCCCCTACAGGTCTCTTCGGAAGGGGGTGAGGTCAACCGCAGACAGCCTAGGGTGAAAGAGTTTGGGGTTTGGGGAAGAAACCACAGAGTCAGGTAGAGGATTCCAGGGCCGCTGAGCGGAGGAGGCCAGGAAGGGTCCAAAGTGGCCTCCGAGCCCTTAGACATTTGGGACCTGTGCACACCGGAGAGCTGGAGGGTTCCGGAGCTCAGTTCCCTTGCGGGGCAGGTGCTGGTGCGACGCCACCGGCCTCCCTGCCGGTGGACCGAGGCGCATCAGGTGCACCTGGACCAGCCGCCTCTCCTTCGGCTTCCCTGCGCAGGTTCCGGGCATCCCGCAGTTCCACTTCAGGGCCGTCTGCAGGAGACGGAGAGCCGCAGGTCCCCGCAGCTCGTCTCCGGGCGCACCGATAGGATCCAAGGGGGAAAAGGAATTTCTCCTGCAAGGCGGAGCACACCGGGAATTTCGGCTCCCGCTCGGCTTCCCCGCGCGCTCCCGCTGAAGTCGGCGCCACCCGCGGCCCCTCAGAGCGTCCTTTCCGCGGGGGAGCCTCGAGCGACCGCGGAGGGTTCGGCCGGACCGGCTCTGCGGGACGGCGAGGAGGCGGCCTCGGGCTCCCGGCGTCCCCTGACCGTCCCCCGAGGGAGCCCCGGCCGTGCGATGCCTCCGGTGGGCGCCGCGTTGGGGACGCCGCTGTGGCCCTCCCCGAAGAGGTCCGGCGGCAGCCGCGAGGGGTCGCCAGCACGCGGCCGGGACAGCAGCGCCCGAGACAAAGATGGCGGCTCCAGGGCCGGCCGCGAGGGGGCTGGTCCGGGAGTCACGTGACCCGCCCCTCCCCGCGCGTCCCAATGGCGCCGCCCTCGCCTGGCCGGTGGCCGCCCGCCCGCGGGGAGGAGGAGGAGGAGCCCCGCCGGCGCCGCGCAGGTGAGGGCCGAGGGCCGCCTTGGGGCCCCTACTCCGGACGCCCCGCGGAGGCTCCGGCGGTTGGGCGGCGGGGGTCGCCGCGCGTTCCCTTCCGTGGCTGCCAGGAAGGTCCCGCGCGGTCCGGGCCGGAGGGTTGGGGGCTGCCCGCCGCGCCGCGGAGCCTGAAAGGCAGGAGGGAGGCGAAGCCGCGGCTGCCGGAGGGCGGGCTGCTCCGCGGGGCTCGGCCGGCCGGGCTCGTTCCCCGCCCGGGGGGAAGGCGGCCCCTCGGCCGGGGAGGAAGCGCTGCCGCGGCGAGGGCCGGGGGGGGGGGGCCTTCTCCGGGCCCGCCTCGGGGGGGGTGCCCCCCCCCCCCCCCCCCCGGGCTCTTGGTGGGGCCTGAGACGGCTGGGCTTCCCGCTGTCGGAGGCGGCGGCGGCGGAGCGGGTCCATGGGAGCGAAGATGCCTCTCCCGCAGCCTCGGACCCTTCCAGCCGCCCCCAGGGCTTCAGGGAGAAGAAATGCTGCCCCTCCGAATTGCCCGCAGCCTGCGGGGTTCCCGCCACTTGGCCCCAGGGAGAGCCGAGGCTCCGGAGAGGGAAGCTGGCTTTCCCGCGGGCCTCCTGGATCAACCAGGGCCAAATGGCTGGGGTCCCCCTGAGCGTCCCTGGGAAGTGTGGAGCTGCCTGGGTCAGGCGGGGAGCCTCCTGGGGCGAAGGGCTTTCGAGATCCAACCGTTTCCAGCTCAGTTGGCCAAGCGGCCTGGGGTTCTACCAGAACCAAAGCCTTCCGGGGCCCAGAAGGTGGTCCTGACTCCTGGCAGCTCCCTTGGCCACTGCTGACGGTGGGAGAGCAGCAGCAGGCCTGAACTCTGGTGCTTTTCCCTCCCAGCAGCTGCCCTCTGGTTGTCCCTGAACGTCTGGCTGGCTGGGAGAGAATCCACTTTTCTGCACAGACTGGAGAATTGCTCCAGATTCTCTGGTGCCGTTCGCGTGCCTTTTTCTTCCCGGGAAGCCCCTGAGCCCCGTCCAGAGGAGGTAGGGGCCTCTCTCTCCTGCGTCCTTGTAGAGAGGTCAAAGGTCATACCTCCCTGAGCAGATGCAGGCCACTTGGGCCTCCTGTCCAGAAGTATTTGGGCAAGGGAAGCAAAGCCTGACTCAGACGGGACCAGCTGCAGCGCAGATTTGGCCTTGCTCAGCATGAAGGAAGGAAGTCAGTCAGTTCTCCCAGTTCTTGGAAGGGGAACCAGACATTTTCTGGTCTCTGCCCCTTCCCTGGAAACCCAGAACTGCTCCTTTCTGTGGAAACTTTTCAGTCTGACTGTTCCTCGGAGGTGAGTGAGTGCTGTGGCTTAGTTCTGGGCTGCTTCTCTCCAGCCATGAGAAGAGGCCTTTCTGCGGGCCCAAAATATGCCATTGGGTTTACGTCTGCTTTGCCCTTGGATAGTTTGGCTCCGGTTGTGGGCTCAGATCCCGAGGGCCTGGCGGGGTCAGCATGGAAACCTGTGTGGACATGTGATCTTGAGATCACCTGCTGTTTTACTGGGGGTTTAATGCATCCAGGCATTAAGCAGAGGCTGTCTTTGGATTGTGGCGATGATGCACATTGTGGGTCTCTTGGACTTAAGAGAGATCAGAAAGCTTTGGGGAGAGGGAGCCAAGCCGGGCCTTCAGGGCTGGCCAGCCTTCCTCGGAAAGGGATCTTGCCCACCCCTGAAAAGCAGGTGGTGAAGCTGCGTCCCTTGTCTAGGGACTTTAAGCCAACCGCACGGGCGCCGCGTTTTGCCGTAGCCCAGGGCTCCTAAGCACCTGCTCAGGTAGCTCCCAGCAAGAGCTGGGTGTGGCCTGGGTCCCGGGAGTCCTGACCGGCCCCTGTGACTTTTGCTGCTCCGGATTGGTAGATGGAGCAAGAGAAGAGTTGCTCCCCAACTGGTGAAAGGCCTTTTCTTTCCCACTCCCGATTCCCAGAAGTAGATCATCCCCGGCTTCTCCTCTCCAGGCCTGGCTTGACTCGGCCGCCTTGACCAGTTGGAAGGTTTTGGCTTGGTGGCCTCCGACGGTCTTCACTCCCCCTCTCTCCAGGCCCTTCTTAAGCTCAGGAAGCCCAGATCTTGAAAAAGGTTCTGACCCCACATGGTGATTTTCAGGCTCAGCTTTCCTAGGAGATGTAGAATTGCTGTCTGTCTGTTTCAAAATCCGTTTACGCAAGAGCTCCAGAAGCACTGCAGCGGTTTGGGTGGGTGGTGACCCACTTCTGACCAGGCACTCTGGGTGAAACGAGCCCTATTGTGAAACTGCTCGGGGAGCTCAAAGGTTTGCGTATTGAACTGCCAAGTCGCTGCTGATCCAGGCCGCTCTGTGAGTTGGCCCTTGAAGCAAGTTGGAGGGGGAGCCCGGAGCCCACTGGGGCAGAGGGGGCAAGGGGCGCTTCCCTGGGGAAGGAGGGCCTCTTCAGGCTGGCCCAGCTCCGAGAGAGCACCGAGGGCCCCCGGGCTCTCCCTGTTGTGGACAGCCTTGGCTTATTTGTGCCCTGAAAGTAGCCAGGGCAACGCTGCCCCACTCCCCTAGGATGGAATAGCTGCCTCCCGTGAAACCTCCCCTCTCCAGCCCCACACCTTCCCACTGCAAGTAGAGCCACAGCTGGAGTAGTTTGGCTAAGGCGGCTGCTGGCCAGGCAGGCCTGCCGAGGCGGGCAGGACGGCTGGCTGCTCCCTCTTCCCTGCCCCGTAGCTGTCGTCAGGTCTGCCCCTCCTGGGCGAAGCTCCTTCAAAAGCAAAAGGCGGCTGTTTTGTGAAGCCACACAGACTGTGGGGGCCAGGTCTCTCCCCTGCCCTGCCTGCCTTTGCCCTGGGGAGGGGGCCCTCCCCTCCCACTTCCTGCTTCCTTCCTGGGCCTGAAATCCACCACAGCCTTGCTTAGACTTTGGCCCAGAAGCGAAGGCAGGCATCCCCGGAAAGGGGTGGGTGGGGGAGGGAGGGAGGGAATCTGTAGGGCTGAGCTGGGTTTGGGGAGAAGTACAGCGGGGGGGGGGGGAGCTGTTTGGCTTTCCAGCCTGCTCACCTGACCACCTGCAACGAGGACCTGGCAGGTGTCTCTGGGACCTTAGATAAGCCTCCCTCAAGGCGCTTCTTCCTGAGCGAAATGCCTCCCAGACATGGAGCCCCTTCTCCTCCCGCCTGGGGTGCCACGAATGCAGCGGGATTTCTCAGGTGTCTTGGAAGCCTCCCCCCCTTTGGGTGCAGAGTCTGGAAAGGAGGCCAGGGAGAGGGGAGGCCCCCCAGGGAAAGATTCTTTGGGCTCCTTGCTCAGCCTGGGCTTTCGCTGGCTGGAGCCAAGCCCGGCTGACTTTCCAGGTGGGCTGGGCCAATGAAGGGGAGTCCTGGGCCTGCTGGCAGTGGGGCTGGGCTTCCTGGGGTAGCTGACGAGGGAACCGGCTGCTGGGCGAGGCGGGCCAGGGGCCGGATCAAGCGGTGCAAGGCTTGGGGTCTGGGAACGGGCCCCTCGACAGAAGTGACTCCTGCCTCCCTTGCAGGTGTGTGGTGCCCTCTGGCCATGAGCCATACGGGTTTCCGGCATGGGAGTTTCCAGGGTGGCAGCAGCAGCGATGAAGACCTGGTGGAGGTGGCAGGGGGAATGCTGGACTTCTCCATGGCGGATGACGTCCCTCCTCTGGACAGGGAGATGGCGGAAGGTAACCGGAGCCAGCTGGCGATGATGCTTCCCCTGAGGCCTCGTGGCTCCCCTGCCTAAACGGGGGTGGTGGTGGTGGTTTGGGGGTCCCTGTCCCCTGGGCAGACTTCTAGGCAGGAGGTCACCAAATTAGCCTCTTAGCTGCCCCTGAAGACTTGTTGATGTTTGTGGCGGTAGAGCTTTCCCACCTTATGCCAGTGTGGTTGGCACCAGGGCTGCCAACAGCTTTGCTCATCCCAAGCCACGATGGCGTCTCTGTGTGTGTCCCCCGGTTTCCCAAAGCCACCCGGAATATTGCCCTGAGAGAGGAGCGGGAGGCCACACCGGCTCCTCAGCTTTCCTCCCTAGTGGATCCCAAACGATTGGGAATCCCCTCGATTTCATGAACTGGGCATGAAGACAACGAAGGGTGGTGCACTGGCAGCAGAAACCTGGTGGCTGAGTTTGGCTCTGACCCTGTGGAAGAATCCACCGAAGCAGAGCTAAGCGGACTGGGTCCTGATCCCACCTGACATGGGAACGGGCACCCCAAGGAAGATTTCAGCCACCACCTGTCCGTCCAGCCCAGTCACCGTTTCCTGCCCTTTAGAGGGGGAGCGGGTTTTGGCAAAAAATGGGGCAAATGAAAACGCCCACACCGACATGGGCCAGGTGTCCTGTCCCTCCGGAAGAGGCCGTGGCTTGGGGACTGTTAATGTGCTGAGATCCTGAGGCGCTTCCTCGAAGCCCCCCGGGGCCTTCTGAGGGTCTCACTGGGCCGCAGTGAAAACGAAAGCTGGCCTCTGCAGGCAGCTTTGGGACAAGGGGCTCTCAGCAGCCACCGAATGGTTCAGCTGGGGGCTTAGAGCTTTTCTGCAGCCATTTAGCTGCCCCTCCCGCCTTCCTCTCCCGTGAAGCTGCTTAAAGATTAACTCAGCTCCTTGGAGCCACCTTTGTTCTCCCGGAGGGACTTTGCGTTCCGTCCTGTGGGTGACGGGAAGGAAAGCCAGGTGGCGTCTCCTGACCCCCTGCAGGTTTCTCCTCGTACAACGGAGGGGGGATGAACGGGGCCAGGCAGGTGATGGACTTCCTGCAGGAGCCACTCCCGGGCGTGGGCACCTACGAAGACTTCAACACCATCGACTGGGTGCGTGAGAAGTCTCGGGACCGCGACAGGCACCGAGAGGTCAGTCGGGCTTCCTCTGGGTGGGGACTGTGGTCAGTGGGAAGGCCGGCAAGGTGGGGGGGGGGCAGGAGCCTTTGGGCAAAGCTGTTGTTTCAGGAAGCATAGCTGGCACAAGGCTGATCTCTCCCTGGTGCTGATCACTGGCGCTCAGGAGGCCCAGCCAGTGGAATGGAGGGGAAGGCAGCCCCTGCTCTGCTCCGCCTTGTGCCTGGGGGGAGGCCCCGATCCTAGGCACAGGCTCCCCATGGGGGGTGGGGGGAGAAAGCCTGCCTCTAAACGCCTCCCCGTCCCCAGATCGCCAGTAGAAGCAAGGAGTCCGCCTGGGCCTTGGTGCACAGCATCAGTGACGCTTTCTCGGGATGGCTGTTGATGCTGCTCATCGGCTTGTGGGCAGGTGAGGGGCCGGACTGCTGGGCGGAGCGGGGGTCTCGGTCAAGCCCCTCCCCTTCTCTGGCGACCTTCTCTGCCCACAGGGGCGCTGGCCGGTCTGATTGACATCACTGCCCACTGGATGACAGACCTGAAGGAGGGTGTCTGCCTGAACGGCTTCTGGTACAACCACGAGCACTGCTGCTGGAACTCGCCCCAGACCACCTTCCAGGACAGGGACAGATGCCCCGAGTGGAGGACCTGGGCGCAGCTGCTGACTGACAGAGAGGAGGGGGTGCGCATCGTGGGGGGGGGCACCCGTTTCACAGGGGGTCCAGCGAGCCTCATGGGCTGCCCTCCCGCTTCTCGCCCTGACAGGGAGCCCTGGGCTACGTCCTGAACTACTTCCTGTACGTCCTCTGGGCGCTGCTCTTCTCCTTCCTGGCTGTCCTGCTCGTCCGCGGCTTCGCTCCCTACGCCTGCGGTTCGGGGATCCCAGAGGTGAGTCCGCTCAGGACCCGCCCCTGCCCCCACCTCCCTCCCTCCCTCCCTGGAGTGGCTGGGTGGCTCTCCCAAGGGCTCCTGCCTGGGGTTGGCCGAGGGACTCGGGGGGCCCAGGGCTGCCTCCCACGGGGGCCTTTTTGCCTTCCAGATCAAAACCATCCTCAGCGGCTTCATCATCCGGGGCTACCTGGGCAAGTGGACCCTGCTGATCAAGACGGTCACCCTGGTGCTGGCCGTTTCATCGGGCCTGAGCCTGGGCAAAGAGGGCCCCCTGGTCCATGTCGCCTGCTGCTGCGGCAACATCCTTTGCCACCTCTTCACCAAGTACCGGAAGAACGAAGCCAAGCGCCGGGAAGTAAGCTCTGGGAGGGGCTGCCGGTCAGCACAGGCCTGGCACGGACGCGGGGAGAGTCTGTTCCTGGCCCCTCTGGCCTCCAGGGCACTGAGGATGGCTGTTCTCTGGGCAGGTGTTGTCGGCTGCTGCAGCCGCTGGCGTATCGGTGGCCTTTGGCGCTCCCATTGGAGGTGTCCTTTTCAGCCTGGAAGAGGTAAGGAGCCCCCCCCCCCCCCCCCCCCCCCCCCGCGGGGGCGGGCCTGTTTCCGGGGGGGGGGGGGGGGGGCCCCCCCCCCCCCCCGTCCTGTCCGAGGACTGCCCTGTGCAGAGCACGAGTGGGCGGCTGAGTGGCCCTTCTCTCCCCCTGATGCAGGTGAGCTACTACTTCCCGCTGAAGACCCTCTGGCGCTCCTTCTTCGCTGCGCTGGTAGCGGCCTTCACCCTACGCTCCATCAACCCCTTCGGCAACAGCCGCCTGGTACTCTTCTACGTGGAGTTCCACAGCCCCTGGCACCTGCTGGAGCTGGCGCCCTTCGTCCTGCTGGGCGTCTTTGGGGGGCTCTGGGGGGCCTTCTTCATCCGCAGCAACATCGCCTGGTGCAGGCGGCGCAAGACCACCAAGCTGGGCCGCTACCCGGTGCTGGAGGTGCTGGGGGTGACGGCGCTGACGGCCCTGCTGGCCTTCCCCAACAAGTACACCCGCATGAGCACCAGCGAGCTGATCTCGGAGCTCTTCAACGACTGCAGCCTCCTGGATTCCTCCCAGCTCTGCGACTACCTCAGCACCAACAGCACCCAGGGCGACGACCTGCCCGACCGGGCGGCTGGGCCAGGCCTCCACGTGGCCACCTGGCAGCTGGTGCTGGCCCTCCTGCTGAAGATCTTCATCACCATCTTCACTTTCGGCATGAAGGTGGCTGTATGGGGAAGGGCCAGGGGGCTGCTGGGCAGGGAGCCAGGCTGGTCGGGGGGCTCGGGCCCCGCCCCAATCGCCCTTCAGAAGCAGGGAGGCCTTGGAAATAGTCTGATGTGCAGGCAGTCCTTGACTTGTGACCGTTTGATGACAATTCAAAGTTATGACTGACTGCCTCCTAAAAAGTGGCCTACGACCTATCGCAGCCCCCACCCACCCACCCACCCACCCCAAGCATTTCTGGTGGCTTGCAGCGCATTTTGCTGATGGCCGGCCTGAAACGCCCCCTGGGGGAGCCGGAGTCCCGGGACGATTGGGGCATGGCCATTGTCCAAAGGGTCACAGCATCTGGCCTGACTGAGGAGCCCAGGGGCCGGGGAGGGACAGTTCAGTCCCTGTTGAGGGCTCCCTGCCCCTTTGATCCAGGGGCCGCAGTGGGGCGGGAGGGGGGGGGACCCGTCTCTGCGCAGGGCTGGCCCAGAGACGAGGGGAGGCTGATGCCAGCTTCTCCTGCAGGTGCCCTCGGGCCTCTTCATCCCCAGCATGGCGGTGGGGGCCATTGCGGGCCGGTTGCTGGGCGTGGGCATGGAGCAGCTGGCCTATCATCACCACGACTGGCCGATCTTCAAGGGCTGGTGCAGCCCTGGCGCCGATTGCATCACGCCCGGCCTCTATGCCATGGTGGGGGCTGCCGCCTGCCTGGGTGAGTAGGAGCCCCTCCCATCAGTTGGGCACCTGGGCATTTCCAGCTGCCCCCAAGTTGCAGACCGATTGTGGCCCAAAGGGCAGCACACGGCTCCCTTCAGATGGGAGGTAAATGTGGGGGGGGGGGACAGTGCTGCTCTCCCCACCCCTCCCCTCCCCAAGCAGGCCTGAGCCTGAAAGAGGCTTTTCAGCACGGTGGTTGTGGGCCGTTGAGCTCAAGCCCAGAGCAACCTCAGGGATGGAGGTGGGGACAGTGAGCTTGAGGGTCAGCTGGGAGCCCTTTGGCCACATCCAGCTGCTGGCCTCCGGGGAAGGCCTAACCCCTGAAGCTGCCCCCGGTTGCGGTTCATTGAAACGGAGCCTGCGAAGGCCCGGGGTGACGGGAGCCCTTCCGAGCCGACCAATGGCTGCTTCCAGGAGGCCTTGATTGAAGGGGCAATTTCTGGGAAGGGGGGCAGTGCCAAGGAGGTGGCTGCTTTTTCTTTCCCCTTTATCCTCCTTCGCTTCTATCCCTTTGTGGTCCTTTCCTGTCTCTCAGTGGTTTTTAAACCTTCCTGCTGAAAGAAATCTATCCGCATGATGTTTGGGAATTCAGGCTCAGGAGAGGCGACCCAGGGAGATGCTCGCCCCGTCCCGGGCAGGCGCCCTGCTCACGCGGCCCTCTGGCTCTTGCAGGTGGAGTGACCCGCATGACTGTCTCCCTGGTGGTCATCATGTTTGAGCTCACGGGGGGCCTGGAGTACATCGTGCCCCTGATGGCGGCTGCCATGACCAGCAAGTGGGTGGCCGATGCCATCGGCCGGGAGGGCATCTATGACGCCCACATCCGCCTGAATGGCTACCCCTTCCTGGAGGCCAAGGAGGAGTTCTCCCACAAGACCCTGGCCATGGACGTCATGCGCCCCCGACGCAGCGACCCCGCCTTGACAGTGCTGACGCAGGACAGCATGACGGTGGAGGACGTGGAGGGCATCATCAACGAGACCACCTACAGCGGCTACCCCGTGGTGGTCTCCTGGGAGTCTCAGCGCCTCGTGGGCTTTGTCCTCAGGCGAGACCTGGTCATCTCCATTGGTGAGCAGGGCCGGGAGCACCCTGGCAACGCAGGGATGTGGCCAGGGGTGGGATTCTACCTGGTCAGACTGGTTCTATAGAACCGGTTGATACAATTCTGCACAGTTCGGAGAACCGGCAAATCGTGCCACTGGCTGGCCCCTCCCCACACCTCACCTTACCCACTCACTCCTTACCTGGCAAACCTGCCTGCTAAGTTGCTATTTTTCTTTTTTTTTTCCCCATCAGCTATTGTGCCGGGAGATTTAGATTAGCTAGAAAGCAGGAAATTGTTGGATTTGTTGCTTTCTAGCTAATCTAAAAGCAGAGCTGAACCTTCCTTAGGACTGAAGCTTCTATTTTTCAGTGCAGACTCAGATAGCAGATTGCAGAATGGTAGATCTCTGAATGAATCTGATTCTGTGAGCAACTCAATCTGCCTGCCTGCTTTTGGGTAAAAGTTGCTCTTTTTTTTTATAAAAAAATCAATATTTACATACATGGTGTGTTGTGAGTTAATTTTGTGAGTTTGCTTGCAAGCAAATTTTATGTGACAGACTCAAGTACCAGATTGCAAAAATATAGATATCTTAATGAATCTGTGATTCTGGGAGCAACTCAATCTGCCTGCTTTTGGGTAAAAGTTGCTCTTTTTTAATAAATTCAATATTCACATAAATATTTATAATATTTACATACAAGTCACGGCCACCCAGTTACATGACCACTAAGCCACACCCACAAATTAGGCCATGTCCACAGAACTGGTTAAGAAATTTGAATCCCACCCCTGGTTGTGGCCCTCTCCATCTCCCGGGAGGCAGGTGGGGTGTGGGCTGCCCCCTCCACACCAGTTCTTTCTCTCTCTCTCTCCTCCCCCCCCCCCCAGAAAGTGCCCGGAAGAAGCAAGAAGGGATTGTCAGCAGCTCAGTTATTTATTTCACCGACCACTGCCCCCCGCTGCCGCCCTGCTCGCCCTCCATGCTCAAGCTGCGCAGCCTTCTGGACCTCAGCCCGTTCACTGTGACCGACCAAACCCCCATGGAGATCGTGGTGGACATTTTCCGAAAACTGGGGCTGCGCCAGTGCCTGGTCACACACAATGGGTGAGGAGGGGGCGGGGCCTCTGCCGAGCATCCTTCCCGCCTTCGTGTGGCGGGAAGGCCGTCTTTCTCTGGAGCATTGGTTGGAGTGCAAGCCCTGCCTTCGTGGGAGGGAGCCCGGAGGGGCAAGAGATCGGGGTGGCCAATGGATAGAGGCGTGGTGAAATGCAGCTGGTGAAATGCAGCCCCCATTCTGAGGCGGTTTCCAATGGGGCAGGACCGGGGGTGGGGTGGGGGCAGGTCACACATCCAGTAAAGGTTTGGAAACACTCTAGGAGCTGGCCGGGCCCCTCCTGGCTTGGGGAGGCTCTTGGCGTTTGCTTTAGGGCTTCAAAATGAAAGACAGGACAATTCACCAGCAGTAATGAAAAAATATATTGTATATACAAAGTATACATGGCTGATAGCTAAATTCTCCCCGGCTGGCAAGGAATTCGGGGGAGCCCAGAGGAGCCGCTCAGCCAGGCCTCGAATCGCCACACAGGCCTGGCCAAGGCCAGTGGCCCAGAAGGAGCTCTGGCGTCTCTGGGCTGGGGGCGAAGGCAGCCCTATTGCCTCTCCCTCCCTCTGCTGGGGCCCACAGGAGGTGGGGGAGGGCCCCGTTGTGGCTGAATGGGGTGCAGGGGCAGAAGGGGCTCCCGGCTCTCCCCCGAGGCCAATCGCTTCTCTCTCCTTTTCAGGAAGCTGCTGGGGATTATTACCAAGAAGGACGTCCTGAAGCACATAGCCCAGATGGCAAACCAGGACCCAGACTCCATCTTGTTCAACTGAAGCCTGGGGCGGGGCAGAGGTTTTACTTTGCCCCACGGACTTTGGCCGGAGGACTGAGCCTGGCCTCTCTTCACGGAAGATCCAGAGCCGTCTCCAGTTTCTCCATGCGGAGCAAGCGATAATCATGTTTTATTTTTTTTCTACAAGATAATACCCAATTGCACTATACAATCTGTGGAGAGTCGTCTTCTCTCGGGAAGGAGCGCCTGATTGCAGCCCTGTTGGGAGCTGCGCTGGGAAGGAGGTTCCATGCCAGAGTAAAAGGAACGCTGTAACTGACTCGGGCGCGGCTGCTTCTTGCCTTACCCAAAAGGGGTGCGGGCTGGGGAGGAACCCTCCTGCCTGGACTGGCGGGGCGGGGCGATGGCCAGAAAGTCGGTTTTGGCTGCAGCTGGGCCGAGAGTGGGGGCAGCAGAGCATTGTGTTCGGTGGCGCCTCTTCCCGAGTGGCACCAGGTAACCCCAAGTCAACTAGCTGAACCCCCGGGCCCTCTCTGGCCCTGCTGTCTTTGCCTGGCGCAGCCTGCCTCCTGCCTTCAGGCATCCCTGTCTATGGGCGCCCAGGCAAGGGGAGGAAGAGGCCGAAGCGGAAGAACCGCCCAGAGTGGGAATTCGGAGGGCTGCTGGCCAGGTTGTGTCTGCTGCTTTCTGGGCTGAACAGGCCAGGTTTGTGCACTGCGTGACCAGGACGTGTGGCTGGCAGCCCAGGGTGGGCGTTGTCTTTCAGAGAAGCCAGATGAGGCCGAGGATGTCGAGCCAAGGGCTGGTGCCCCCACTCAGATGCAGGGGGGTTCCCACCGGTTAGAAACGGAGGGTGTTTCCTGTCCTGCGCCTGTGGGGGACTGCCCTCCCCCCCTTTTCAGTGCTCCTAATGGCAGCAGCCTGTTTTGCCTGCACCCCACAGAGTCTGGCTTCCGAATTAAGCCACGGTCAAGGGGCATGCGGTGCACTGAACCAGGCACTGACCAATTTGGGGGGGGGCCATGCAAAATGCTAAGCCACAAAGCAGCAAAAGCCTCTGGTCCTGTGGGAGAAGCAGCCCCTGAGGCAACTCGGCCTGGGGAATCCCTGGAGGAAACCAGCCGAGAGAAAAAGGCCAATTCCCAGAAGGGTTCAAGGCCCGAAGACCAGCCCCCCCCCCCCCCCCAAGGAAGGGCTAAGGAGCTGTTTGGGCTTCTGGCACAGGGATGGGTTGCTCCCGGCCGCTCCCGGCTTTGGCTAGGGCATATGCTGAGGGCTAATGCCGTTCCGGGTCACACCCAACGCCTGTGTAGGGAGAGGCAGCGGGAAGGTGTGCCCCGTGTGTCCCTGGGGGGGCTCGCTCAGTCGGGGGACCCACTGACCTACATTCGTGTCCTGGCAGTAAGACTTGTGAACTGCCACTGGGTGTGCGAGCCGCTCAGCTTCCTCCAGGCCCAGGAACAGGTCGCAGGTGTGCAGGCGTGTGCCCAGAAGTGGCTCTCTTGGGCAGGAGGGAGCCCCACATTTCTCAGCTGGAATGACTGGAAGAGGGCAGGCAGTGGGGCGATGGTTGTGTGTAGGGATGCAGAGGAGGGTCTCCAGCCGCAGTCACGGGGCACGTCCAGGAGAGCCAGAAGCCTAGCAGTTGCCGGCCGGCCGGCCTGCTCAGCTTCACCGTCTTTCTGGCTGCTTCAGAGACACGGTCACAAGGGAAGCTCACAGCAACCTGAGGGGCTGCAGCCGCCTCCTGCTCCCCCTCCCCGCCCTGCCTTTGCCTCCGGCCCAGCTTGGTCACTACTACTAGCGGGGGGAAGGAAGGGTGATAAGGGGGCCCAGGCATCCTCCAGGGGTTCTGCGTGGGGGGACGGTGAGGCCCTGAAGCCCCCTTGGCCACTGTCCCCCAACGTCACACGTCAAGGCGGAAGGCTCCAAAATAGCTGCCCGCCTCATCGTCGTAGTTGACGTCCAGCGATGAGACGGACACAAAGAGCTTGTCGCCAGCTTTGAGGTCAAAGAGGCCTCCCTGGTAAAGGGCATGGAGCCCATAGGCCGCATCCTGCTGCCAGCACTTGGTGCCCACGCCCTTCAGCAGAAGGATGGTCTGCCCGTAGACGCTCTGGAGATTGATGCACTGCACCAGCTGGTGGCCCAGGGAGCGGGCATCGGCCCCCTCGGTGGGGTAGCGGAAGTAGATCTGGGCATAGACATAGTATTTGCCCGCCTGGCTCACCTGCAGCTGCCCATCCTGGTAGGTGAGGTTCTGGAGGTGGGCATGCATGGTCCTGCTGGCCCAGTGGCGGATGGGGTGCTGGCAGGACTGCTGCAGATCCCGGAACTCCGGTCCCAGGGCTCCTATGGGGGGGGGAGACCCAGAAAGTCAGCCCAGGCAGTGGAGGAGAGGCACACACAACTCTGGAGCTTTTTGGGGGGTGGGGGTGGGGAGGGCTGTCTTCATGAGGACACCAAAGGCAAAGAGCTGAGAAAAACCCAGCCACCTCACAGGCTTTCCAAAGATGACAGCTCACGGGCAGCCCGCCCACCCGCCCGCCTTCCCTCCCTCCCTCTTGAGCTGAGCAAGGCCCTGCCCCAGCCCCTCTGGGAGAAGCCCACGTGAGGCCCAGCCAGGAACCCCCCACCCCTGGCATTCAGGGGACCTGCCATCTCATCTTTTGCCCGGCTGTAGAGGCAGGCAAAGGAAGCGCCCAGGACTGGCAGCCAGGACCAACCGCGGAGGTACTCTTGATGACTGATGGCTGCGTGCGTCTCGTGCAGCCCTCTGAGGCCCCACAGCACTCGGGACACCAAGCCAAGGAGAGGGCCAGATACCTGCAGACTCACCTGGCCGGGAAGGGCTCGGCCTCCTCAGGGTGAGATGTGCCAAAGGCCGGCTGCCCAGCTGCCAGCTGGAGTTCCTCTGCTTCTGAGAGGCACTGACTAGGGAGGAAGGGCAGCAGAATGAGAGAGGGAGGGGAGCTCCTTGCAATCTGCCTCTTGACCGGCTCTCCTTCCCCTCCAAGTCTGGCCCAGTCGCTTTGCCCCCCGTTGGCAGACTCACCGCTCGGGACGCTCCTTCGGATGACATTTTCGGTAATCTGGAAGGGAGGGAGAGGAGGAGGCTCAAGGCAGGGTCCAGCACCCCCTCCACCGGGGGTTGTTCTGGATTCCCCCCACCGCTGGGGTCGGCCTCCAAGTGGGCAGGGCAGGACAGGCAGGCAGGCAGACCTCTCTGAGCAGAGCTTTGGGTCCTCGCGGTGGGTGGAAGCCGGTGGGCAGGGCAGGGCGACGGATGCCCAGGCAGAGGGGGAACCGCTGCTTGGGCCTATTTCGGAGAGGACTGGGCTGCGCACCCCCCACCTCCCCTCAAGCCTCCCGACAGCCCCACGGCCTGCACTCCTTGACTGGGCTCAGGATTTGGGGCGCCGGGATCCCAACGTGGAGAGGCCTCTCACCATGGCAACGTAGTCCTGGATGCCCAGGGCCAGCTTGAAGCACGGCTGGGTGCTCATCAGCTCCTCCAGCTCCGAGAGCTCCTGCAGCCGGTTGAGCAGCTGGAGGCACCTCAGCTCCTCCGAGGTGCCCTGCGTTTGGGCCTTCAGCTGGGGAGGAAAGACGGAGGGGTCAGGTGGGGGTCCCAGGTGGTAGCAGCAATGGGGGTGGGGGGAGGTGGCTTCTCACTGCTCTGTCCACTCGGGCTGGCAGCCTCCAGGTTTCTCCTTCAGACCTGGAAGATGCCTCCCTGCCATGATTGCCCTGAGGACGTCCATTTAAGGACATGGCAGAGACCTTTGCTCCCCAGGCTTGGCATTAGGTTGTGGCCCTGGAACCAGCAAAGAGTTCAGGGGGGACAGGGCACCCTTGCCATGAATTCCCCCCCATCCCACAGCAGACGGAAAAGTCTCTTTCGTTAAGCCAAAGGAGCAAGCCTGGCCCAATTGTCCTCACTCTAGCTGGCACGCGGGGCACCCAGCCTGAGACCAGGAACTGGGTCAGGTGTTGCAAAATCAGCACCAGCTGTAAACAAAGGAAGGCACAACCCAGCAGGACTGGCGATGCCAGCCGACACACGTCCTGGGCCAGAGCTCCTGCGGGGCCCCCGCCCCGCCAAGAGCTCACTCAGAGAAAAGTAAGGAGCACCCAGCAGCCTCGGAGATGCCCCCCCTTTCGCTACTGCAGGTGTGGGTCTCACGTTTAGCCCCCCAGCCACAGCCAGCCAGGAATGCTGTTCCTGCTTCTGCCTGCGGGAGATGCCACCCTGATCATCTGCAGCATCGACTTAGCTGACTAGCAAGGCTAGGAGGGCTCAAGAGCCACGGACAAGGTGGAGAGGGGGGCTTTGCGCAGGCCCGCGAGGAGCCCCTCCGAGAGGCTTTCCTAGCAGCACAGGCTCCCTGGGTGTTTTTGTAACCTCAAAGATTTGGCATGGCAATTAAGAGAAAACGAAAGCCAAACCAATCCTGCAAGTTGCTTAATTCAGGAAACTTTGGCCACACCCATCCTTCCCCCATCGCAAAACAAGCAGACACACGCCAAGCCCTTGCCCGCCCCCCCCCCTTTCTCCCAAGCGATAGCAGGATTGAGGGCTGGGCGGAGAAGGCCTGCGAAAGTCTTGTAAACATTGTGAGCACAGGGCACTGTGAAACTGACCCACGGCACAACCGCTCTGGAAGCTGCCCCTCCTTCTAGTTGGGATGCAGGGTGACGGGGCAGGCCCCAGAGGCCAAAGGGAAAGGGGTGTACACGGCAGCCCTGGGCAACTTTCTGCTTGAAAGGTCTTTAAAAGTTTTAAGAGCAGATTCCAAGAAGGAAGAAGGAAGTGCCTTTCCCGGCAGGGTTAATTATTATACTGAAAGTTTTCCTCCAAGTCAGGGCAACACCTTGAGGGCCCAGCACAGCGGCCCTCTGCTAGCCCCTTGGCTCAAGAGGAAGGCTGGCTTCGGGTCTCCTGCTTGCCCCTCTGAAAATCAGGGGGGCCCATTCAGGCCTTCCGGTCTTATGGGCCGAGCATCTGACTGACGTTAAGCCCTCCAGCGAATGCTCCCACCTCCTCCAAGCTGGTCTGCTTCTGCCAGCAGTGGAAACCCCACAGCATTATCCAGCGGAGAAGTGAGCAGGCGCAGCTCAGCTCCTGCCTCTTGGTGGACCTGGAGGACCCCTTCCCCCACGCCTTCTCCAGCCAGAGTGGAGGGCCTGTGTTGCTCCAGGACTAGGCCAAGTCCCTCCTGTAAATACTTTTGCCCTGGAACTCAGGCAAGGAGCAGATCACCGGGGAGGTGAAAGGGGCTGCCGGATTGGGCAAAGCCAGAAGGCTCCACAATCTCCTCTGCTCCTTATCTTGGCCCCTGGGGGCATCGGGCCCCTGGCCACAGCCCACTTGCCCTGCTCAGGGTCCACAGTAAGCGTCCTGAGCAGATGGGCTGCAGGAGCAGATCCTGCAAAGGAAACACAGCAGCGCATTTGGCTCCCTGGTTTTTACACAAAGTTAGGATTTTCTCTCTCTAACACTCACTTGGCATCTGCTTTCCTAGAAGTTTGATCATCACTATTCTGCCTCTCCCACCGGTCTCCTCCTTCTCCCTGTGACCTCTCCGAAGCCCACCCCACCCCCAGGCCCTGTTTCTCTCAGCACCGGACATACCCACCCTCTCCTCTCTCTCCGCCCAGCCTGCAAGCGGAGGGGAGGAGGAGGCTCCAACCAAGGCAGAGTGCATGAAGCAGCTGCCTGACGTGATTGGAAATTATATTTCTCTGTTAAACCAATGCTTTCCCTTCTTTTCCTTCTCTTGTCTTTTCTTGCAGCCACGTCACCCTCTTGGCTCACGTTCACCAACTACTCCCTCAAGATCTTTTTCGGAAGTATTGTTTCCAAGCCTGCTGCTCCCCCACCTACATGTTGCATCTTATTTTGCTTCTTCAACAGCAAAAAATGGGTCTGCTCTGTGTTGCCTTACTCTCTTGCTTTGCTAAGCCCTCCCATCTATTTCTGGGCCATTCAGTAGCTCACTGGAACTGCAGATTTGATCAACCCTTCCGAATAGTTAGCAAAACCTACCGAGCAGGACTGGAATAATTCTTCCTGCACGGAGCGTTCAGTGGAGATGTACCCCCTTAGTCCTCACCCACCCGCTTTAGGGGAGGGGGTCAGCTGAACCCCTTTCCAGTGGTGCTTACAGCAGCATCGAGCCACCAAACGCACCCAAGTTGCAAGCGCTCCCGGCTGGCGTCCGCTTCCTGCTCTGTAACGACTTTTGTAGGTCGTAACTCTGAATGCTTCCCTAGGACGGATGTGCGGAAACTCTCGGGAGAAAACTCGCCGCCGCCGCCGCCTCCTGCGGGCCGCCCAGAGACTCTTTGGGGCTCCCTGGCGACTGGCCGTCTCCCGCCCGCTCCTTCGTGGCACCGTCTGCCGCGCTGCCCTTTCGCCCAGAGCCCGTCACCCACACGCCTCCGCCACGGGGCCAGGCACAGGGCGCCCTCGGGCCTCGCGCAGGCGGGGATGGGCGGCCGCTCCAGCACCGCCGCCGCTCCTTTGTTCCGCCGACGGCCGGCCGGAGCGCCCCCTCCCCGGGCCTACCTTGGCGATGGACATGGTGAAGTAGACGAAGAGGCCGGTGGCCGAGGCGATCTGCAGCGCCACGATGCCCATGGCGGCCACGGCCAGCCAGACCGGGCTGCAGCGCTTGCGGCGGCGGCGCTTCTCGGGCCGGGCGGGCGGCTCGGCCTCGGAGCCGCTCGGGCTGCCCAGCATGTAGGCGGCCGAGTCGCTGCTGTCCGAGCGGAAGTACTGCTGGCCCGCCTGGGCCGCCGCTGGAGCCATGCGGGGAACGGGCAGGGAAGGCGCTCGCCCGGCGGCCCAGGGGCGTCTGCGCTCTCGGCTGCTCCCTCCTCAGGGCGCGGGGAGCGCTTGTTGGCGGCCGGGCGGGCCCGCCTCCTTGGCAGCGTGCGGGGGGCGGGTCGAGGCGAAGGTCCGGCCGTCGGATAAACAAAGGGGGAGCCTCTGCAGCGCCCCCGCCGTCCGCCTCTCCTCCGCTGCCCCTCGGCGGTCGCTGCAGACGCGGCCCGTTGAAGGAAGCGAGGACTATTTTGCATTCCCCTCTCTTTGATTCATTTCTTTATTCTTCAAATCTCGACGTTATTATTTTCAGTTGGGCTACAGGTTGTTTTTTCTTTCTTCAACAGCCAGAACCAATCTGGGACTGCTAGTATTTTCATAAGAGACGTTTCCTCCCATTTGTGGTCATTCTGATATCAATGCTGTTCTTTTACCATGATAAATAGCTATTTGCAAATATGTTTAGGTCTTTAAATAGTTACAACCAGTGGATATCAACCATCAAGCCAGGTGAAAACCCCTTAAAAGAAAAAAGAATTATTCCTCCATCCTGTGCTACCAGCCCCCCTCCCTGCCCCCTGCCTGGGGCTATGCAGTAAAACCACAGCAATTCTGTTGAGCCTAACAAAGCCTGACTTGCAGGGTGCCCCGGCTGAAAGCCCAACATCTGGAGTAGGGCTTCTTCCCAGCATACAGTCTGCCTTTGGCACGGAACACTTTTGGAGGGGGGATTGCAAAAAATATAATTTCCTCTCATGTCAGCGGAACGGATCCAAAAGTATCAGTACTGTCAGATCACAGATAAGGTCATTGTTTAAAAAAAAATCACCCCTCCCCCCAGCCCCACACATCTAATAGGGCTGTGTGGGTAAGACCTTCCATTTGGGAGGGAGGCTGGAATTCCCTGCTCCACCACCTGCCTGAACTTGCAGAACCTGCTGGGAGTCTGTGCTGGGGCCGAGGGGCAGAAGGCAGCCGGCTTTTCCAGCCAGGCCGAAGGGAGCTTCCCACACACTGCCAGGAAGCCGCCTGCTCGGGGCTGCCTGCACATTTCTGGGAGGACATGCAGAGTCGGTAGAGGCAAAACTGTCCCGGTCCCAAAAGTTTTCAATATTTTCTTCTTGGGAAAAACCACAAAAGTGATTTCATTCCACTGCCATGCCTGAAGTACACTGAATGTGTGTGTGGGAGGGGAAGGGAGGGGCTCTCAAGCATCCAATGTGGTTTGCAGCAAGGCTGCTGGACCCCGTGTGAAGAGAACCACATGGTTATTCTTGGCGCCTGGGCTAACTATCAGTCCTCCAAGTAGCCTTGAACCTGCCCAGGCAGGTCCAGAGCATGACCTTGGCTTCCACTGCTCTTGAACATAGATTGCATGTGTCTCTGGTGGCTTCAAAGCACCCAGAGCCCCGAGGGCTTCATGTACACAGGGCTGGGTGTACGCAGCAGGCAAGGGGAGGCAAGCAGGAGGCATTTTGCTCTTGGACCATCAGGCCGAGGCCGAAGGCAACGCAGAGCAGTCCCATCATCCTGATTGTTCGTGGGACACAGAGTCCCAGCCCAGGTCCCAGAGGCAACACTTCACTCAGGCAAGAGAGCTGCTCCCATCAGGAGGAAAACCACTCCATTTGTGAGGAAAGTTACTTTCTGGGAGGGGGTCCCCATCCACTCAGGGAGGCCTTGGTAAGAGGGGGCAAGACGCTCGGTGCTGCCTGGCTGGGAGCTGTGGAGGGAGAGAGGCCCCCAGGATGTGGCTGGCTGGCGTGTCTGGCCTGGCCATCTCTCCACTAACAAGGAAACGCTTGCGTAAGACCGCCTGGAATGCAAGGCGGCCATTATTTGATCCAGATGTTTGGCCACTTCGCTCCCCTCACCAGAGCAAAAGTCCAGCCTAGGAAGAGTGGGTGGAGCCTTCCCTGGTTGTCTGGGAGGCCTGAAGAAGGAGACCCCTCCTCCAGCCCCAGCTCAGCAAGGGACATGCAGAAGAGGGGCGGGCTCCAAGGCCTGGTAAGTTGGGTCCCTCTGCAGAAGACAAAGGTGGCCAGATTGCCCCACCCCCCTTATCATCTTCTGCAGAAAGCAACAGAAAGCCAGCTGCCTCTGCATGCAGCTGTTCCAGCCCAGACACTGGGGCGTTTCTAGAAGTGCTGACCCATCGCCCCTTCCTTTGGTTCAAGCGGTGACCCTTTGGTGCTGAGGCAAAGGAATGTGTAAGCCGAGAGGACCCGAGCAGTTGCCTTGGGGGCCACATGGGGTTTTAGGGGCAGCCATTAGAACAAGGGAACTCCTTGGGGGGGGGTCTCTGTTGCTTGGTCTGCTCTGCCCAGACCAACTTTCCAGCTGCTCCTTGTTGCAACATGCATCTGGGCCATTGCCCTGGGCTTCTTTCTCCAGTTGGCCTTGCTGGCTCGGGGGTTTGTGATTCCTCTTCCCCCCCCCCCCCCCCCAAAGTCTAGGCATATTCCTTTGACCTAGACTGGTCTGGGTAGGATAACTGTTCAGCCTCCAGCCCCTTTCATCTTCAGAGAGGCTCCTCCTCTCCACTCCAGGGCAGCTTTGTGAGAAGCCCCCCCCCCCCCATGTGGGAGGACAGAGTCAATAAGGGCAACTGCTCAGGTCTGCTCTGAAGACCACCATGCAGGACTTGGCCAGCTGCCCTCCTGCATCCTTCAGCAAGATGGCTGAAATGGTTAGCTCAGCAGAACTGGGAAAGAGCTTTCTAAGCACTTCATGGGGTGCAGACTGAGTCTGACATGCACACACACACACACACACACACGCTGGGGGCCATGTTCAAAACCACTTCTATAGCAACGGAGTTCCACAGCTGCAGCTGTACTCCATCCTTTTTAGGATGGGGGCACAGAGCACATGCTTTTAACAAGACTAACAGGAGAGAAGGCTGTTGCTGGGGCTGCTCTGCCTTCTTGTTAATTCCACCCTGTCTGCATCCTAGCTGGGTTGGGGGTGCTAGGGAAGGTCTGCCTCCCCAGAGAGCGACCTCTCCCTTACTCTCCCTGTCCCAGGCGGCTCAGGCCTTGACTTTTACAGGAGACCCTCAGCAAAGGCTTCGCCTGTGGCTTGCTCAGATGTCACCCTGACCTGACCCAGGACATTTTATCATCTACCGGGAAGGGAGCCTGGCTCCAGGGCTCCAGCGGGGGAGGCTCCTTTTCCTTCTCCAGAAACGAAAATAACATTGGTTTGCAGCTGGAAGGAATGTGAGAAGGCAGAGAGGCTGTTTTGGGACAATCCTGCCAACGTGGCTCGAGAGCTGGGCTGACAGGCACCTTCAACATGCTTTGAGACCTGAAGGAGGATTTTGGCATCCGAATCAGGAAGGCTGCCTCAAGACCGAAAACAACAGGAACAGCCTCGTGTTTTGCAGACTTCCTCGCCCGGCGCTTCTGACCCCGAAGCAAGGCGGACAGCGAGCGAGCGAGCGAGCGTCCAACAGCGCCACCCGCGCGGAGGCTGCTGCCAGGCCGAAGGAGCCCCGCGCGGGCCGCCCTCCTCCCCCCGCGCGCGGCTCCTGCGGGGGACGCGGGGCGTCGGCGGTTTTCCCCGGGCAGCCGCGGCTCCAACGGGCGGAGCGCAGAGTCTGGCTCCGGTCTGCCCCGGCCGGAAGAGAGCCGAGCGCCTGCCTGCCCGCCCGCCTCCGCTGACCGGTGCGGCCTCCGGGACCCCCGAGCTGGGCGCCGTGACTTTCGGGGTTCCCGTCCCTTTAAGGCCAGGGCCCTGCCGCCCCCTCTCGGCCAATCCCATTATCCCGTTCCCTGGGAGCCCCGCCCCTTTAGGGCAAGAGCTAGGCAGCCTCCACTTCCCCATTGGCTGCTTGGGTCCGTTTTTTAAAAATCCTTAGGCCCCGCCCTTAGCAACTGCATTCTCTCCGGCTCCGGGATTGGCTGCCGCGGGGCCAATGATGTCCGCTCTTTACAAATGTAGCAATTTTCAAATCCTCATTTTGTGCAGCGAAGAAGAAGAAAGAAGCGGCGGCGGCGAGTTTTCGCGGCGGCTTCAGCTCCAGGTGAGCTTTATTGGGGGGACCAGAAGGGGCGCCTTCAGCCGGCGGAAGCCCTCTGCCTCCCTGAGCACCGCCACGCGGCTGGGCCTCGGGTGGTCAGGCCGGGTCTCGGATCTCCTCCCTTAGCCCGTCTGGAGAAGCGAGGGCGAAATTCCTGCCCGCAGGGAGGAGCAGCGCTTCCTGTCCCAGCCCGTTTCTCTCCCCTTCTGCAGCCCTGCGACGGGAGGCCCCCAGCTGGAAGGATGCCCCCTGCGCGCAACTCCAAGGGCTTGGCCAGCAAGCAGGCCCGTTCCGGCCGAGGAGCAGCGGTGGAAAATGTGCAAGCGGACAAGGTGAGCCAGAGTCCACCCCAGCCAAGAGGCGCACCAATCGCGCACGTGTCTGTGTGTGTGTGTGTGTGTGTGTGCTGTGTGTGCGTGTGCTTGTTGGGTCAAGTTCTACCCCTGCAAAAGGCACTCCGGCACTCCGTGGAGGGTGCCCCTTTAGGGGAAATCTGCCTTTGGCCCCAGGTGGCCCTTTGCTCGGAAGGGGCCGGGCGGCTGGGAGGAGCCCTAGGAACTACACTGAGTGGCCTCCGGTTCCTTTGATTCTAGGAGATTTCTCAGGCGAAACGATCCCCCTCATCACCCCAGGGGGCACCCAGGAAGCGATCGGCCTTTGGCGATATCACCAACGTAAGAAGCATGGGCCCTTGAGTGGCGTTGCCCGCGGTCTGCTGGGCATACACCGGTCCCTTGCCAGCTGCTCCTGCCTTTGATTTCTCGGCCGTTCTGGGACTGAATCCCAAGCAAGCAGCCGCTCGGTCTGAGGCGGTGCTGAGCGGCTCCTCTGGGTCTCCCTCTTCTAGGCTCACAAGGCCCAGGGCTTTGTGGGGAAGAAGGAGCCGGAGAAGATGATTCCCAAGAAGGCCTCCAAGGGATCCACTGCGCTGAATGTGGCCAAGAACAATGAGACCAACCTGAAGAAGTGAGGGCTATGCTGCTGCCTCCCCTGCCCATGTGGCTTTCCTGGGTGGGCCAATGTCCCCATGGCATCAAGGCGCCTTGTACGATGATGGCAACTTCAGTGCCCTCTTTAAACAAAAGCCATGCTGGCACAGCTGCCATTCTCGCCAGTCTGAATGCAACCCCAAAGCTCTCACCTCAAACTTTGGCAGAGCTCGATTGGGCTGTGCCAGCAAGTTTCCAGCGTGGCGTTTCTCCAGTTCCTACCACTCTGGACGTTTCCTCCAGCCTGCCCCAATGTGTAACCCCTGCCACCTCTTCCAGGTCCCTGGACAAGGCACCCTCTGAGGACAGTCCAGCCAAGCTGAGCCATCTGGCCAACAGAGGCCTCGGAGAGGAGCAGGTCGTCCCACTGGTAGTGCTGGTAGCACCAGCAGCCCAGGTAGGGAAGCAGGGTATCCGTGGGCCCCGCTGGCAGGGCCTGCCTCTGGGGCAGCACACGGCTCCCTTGCAGCCAGCAGTCCTGGTACCTCGGGCACAGGGCTCAACCCCTGCCTTGGCAGCCCGAGACTCGCTCTCTGTCTTGTAGCTGACCCTGCAAATGGCGGGGGTGTGGGGTGTGAGTGGGTGCTTGAGGAAGGCAGGGTATTCGGGGCTGCCTGCCAAGGGCTCCCCTCTACTTTAGGGCCAAGGCAGCTCCTGCCCTCTGCTCCCCACCCCAGGCAGGGCACCGTTGAAAGCCTCTCTTGTCCAGGTGGCTCCGGCAGAGGACATCGACCTGGGGCAGCTGGACGACCCGTATGCCAATGCCGAGTATGCCAAGGACATCTTCGAATACATGCGGGAGCGAGAGGTGCCTGCTGGGGTCCAGGGAAGGGCTGCCCTTCCTCTGCCACTGCAGATTCAGTCCCACTGGGATGGCCGGAGGAGGAGGAGGAGGGGAGGGTGGAGCAGGGGATGCAGAGGGGCTCCTGGGGCTGCTTCCTGGGGGGGTTTCTCAGCCACACCCTCCTTTTCCAGAAGAGCTTCCTGCTCCCAGACTACATGAAGAGCCAGCCGGACATCACCATGGACATGCGGGCCATCCTGGTGGACTGGATGGTGGAGGTGCAGGTGGGAGCCAGCCAGAGGAGGGAGGGCTGGGTGGCAGTGGGCAAAATGAGCCTTGCGCAAGGCCGTGATGTGCCTGTGCCGGAGCAGTGCTGAGAATGCTGTCTCCTCCCCCCTCTTGGCAGGACTCCCTCCCAGCCTCCCTGAGCTGCTGGGGGTGGGATCGAGGGTCTCCTGCTGGGCCCTGAAAGGGGGGGGCTGGGCCGAGGGAGGGAGGAGACGCCTGGCCACCAAAGCTGCTTTCTGGCAAGAAGGCTGCCCTCAGCACCGCTTTGCGCCTGCAGGAGAACTTCGAGCTCACCCACGAGACCCTCTACCTGGCGGTCAAACTGATGGATCATTACCTGGTTCAGGTGGCAGCCATGAGGGACAAGCTGCAGTTGATCGGCTCCACCGCCATCCTTATTGCCTCCAAGTTTGAGGTGAGCCCCCCACCAGCAATGGGCCAGGAGAGGCATTGGGGGTCTTGGGAGGGGTTGGAGCAGAGATTGTCCGAGAGACCCCCCCACCCCCCCCAGTCAGCTCCAGTCACCCCCCACCCGCTCTGGGCACGCGCTTCACCCCTTCCACCTCCGAGAGGTTCCCTCTGGGCCTCCTGTTGTTGGCTCCAACCGTTACTTCTCAGGGCCTCTCAACATTGGGGGGGGGGGGGGGTATGTTTAATGGGCTGCTCCTCACATTTTCTGGGCATTTGTCCAGTGGGTCCCAACCACAGAGCATTCGGAGGCACCGCTTAGGGCACTATCCTCCTGAGTGCAACCTCTGGGCACCCCCTGCCCCACCCTGAAAAAACCCGCCAGGAAGGGATGGCATGGGCTGGGGCAGCGTCAGGTCTTTCCCCCCGGGAGGGGGCCAAACGGTCTTCCACTTGGCAGGAGCGCTGCCCTCCCTGCTTGGACGACTTCCTGTACATCTGCGATGATGCCTACCAGCGGGAGGAGCTGCTGGCCATGGAGAGGGGCATTCTGCAGACCCTCCACTTCGACATCAATATCCCCATCGCCTACCGCTTCCTCCGGCGGTTTGCCAAGGTCAGTGGTGCACGATGGGATCTGCTTGTGGGCGCCAGAAGCTGCCCTTTGCCTGGCTGGCTGAGAGAAATGGGGCAGAGGGGCACCGGGTGCTCCTGGGGGAGGGTCCGTGCCCTTCACACGTGGCTGTTCCTCCCAGTGTGCCCGGGCTACAATGGAGACGCTGACCCTGGCCCGTTTCATCTGCGAGCTGACCCTGCAGGACTACGCCTTTGTGCAGGAGCGGGCTTCCCGCCTGGCTGCCAGCTGCCTCCTGCTGGCTCTCAGGATGAAGAACCTCAGAGGATGGGTGAGGATACCCGCCCCTCCGGGCATCCTGTCTCCAAGGGAAAAATGTGGGCAGGGAGGAGGCAGCGGGCAGAGCCGTGCCCTGCAGAAGGGAGGCGCTTTCCCCTGGTGGCAGAGACGGGCAGGGGACTCCTGGGGGGAGGAAGCAGGCTGGGCAGGTGAGAAAGGGAAGCAGCATCTGGGGTGGGGTCCCCTGTCCATGCCACACCCGTGCGTGGAGCGGCCTTCCTGCGCCAGCTGCACACTGGGCAAGTGCCTGCCCCCCCCCCCACTCCTCCCTCGGTGCGACTCTTCCCTGGTGTCTTGGCAGAGCCCAACGCTGGAGTACTACAGTGGCTACCAGGTGCCAGACCTTCTCCCTCTGGTCAGGAGGCTCAACTTCCTGCTGACCTGCAGCCAGGACGAGCGGCTGAAGGCTGTGCGCAGCAAATACTCCCACCGGTGAGTGCTGCTTCCTCTGGGCCTCTGCGGGTGGGGTGGGGGTCCCGGCCCCCAGTGCAGTGGGGTGGGAGCATCTGGTCAGCCCTCCCAGGGTTGGCCCAGGAAGGAGCCGCTCTTCTGCCCTTGCCTGCTGACCCTCTCCGGCCTCGGCTTGCAGGGTCTTCTTTGAGGTAGCCAAGATGGAGCCGGTGAGCATGCAGGCGCTGGAGAACGCTCTGCAGAGCTAGCCCCGGTGCTGCGGGCGGGCTGCCTCCAGTCGGGGCGTGTCCTGCCCGGAAACTGGATTCAACCTGCCCTGTAAATAGATGTTCAGTCTACGAAGCCTGTAAATAATTGTTTTTTTAATGATGAAGGGGAAAAAAGGAAAACTCTTATGGGGGGGATATTGTGTAAAGAAAAGAACAAGCTTTCAATAAAAGAATGTGAGCGCAGCCCCACTCCCGTCTGCCTTCCATGGGCACCTCAAGGGGCCCCCTTTGCTGGCCGGGCTCAGCTGCAGGGTTTCGCCCGGAGGGCGCCCGGAAACCACTAAGCAGCTGCCCAGCGGAGAATTCACGCACACACGCACCCCCAGGGAATGTGGGAGAGAAGACCCGACATTATTCCAGGATCAAATCCATGTTGAGATTTATTTCGCAAACGTGACGCCTGAAATTTGGAACCAGTCCTGGGCCGTTCCCCACTTTTCAGGACAGTGTTTCACATACGCTTATTTTCCCCACTTCCATCCTGTGTAGGCGGGCAAACCCCTCCAAGTGGCCCCGGTCTCTGCCCCTCATCAGGCTATAGGGAAGAGCAGCTGAAATGCACAGAGGGGGATCAGGGGACACCTGAAAGACCCCCTTTCGCTAGGCTGGAGTGCGTAAGGCCCAAGTGACCCAGTCCCCAAAGGATGCGCGGCTGGAGACAAACTCCAATGGGAGGGGGGAGGAGAGCAGTGGGCCCATTGCCCATCTTCACGGGGGCAGAGACTCTACCTGGTGGTGAGGCTTTCTTGTGCTCCTGACTTCCTTTGTGGGCAACTGCAGGCAAATCCTCCATGGTGGCATCTCTTTCTTTCTGCCTGGCAAACCCCAACCCTGCTGCTCTCCTTGGCCGTTCCTCCTTGCCATGCCCATCGGCCAAAGAGACCAGCTGCTCCCCACTGAGAACCGAGCTGGTTGGCTCATCTGCAGCAGAAGGGAGATGCCAATGCCTCCACTCCTTGCACACTTGCAGTAAAATTGCTGTTGCACATGGAGACACAATGACAACCAGCTCCCAGCAGAGGGGTCCCGCTCAGCTGCGCACACAGGCCTAACATGGGGAAGCCAGTCTATTTGGTGTGGCAGAAGCAATCTCCCTGCAGCTGCTCTCCAGGGCCAAAGTGGCTGTGCCAACCCTCGGCTGGACACCAGGCTGGGAGAGCCGAGGTGTGCTGCTTGCTGTCTCATGCCCAAGTGCCAGTGGAGTCCTTCAATGGGGACAAGGCAGCCCCCCCCCACAGCAGCTTTGACTGATCAACGCCGCAGGGGGTGACCCCCTCTGCCCCTGGGCAGTCAGCTGGCCCAGCAGAGTTAAAAGCCCCTCCACACACAGAAAGCTCCAGGCTCTACAGACAGATTCCACAGTGCATTTGCACAACACAGGTGAAAAATAAATTAAGGTATATATTACTCTTTAAATAAGTATCTTCTCCGCAAGGTATGTACATTTTGATCACACTTCCAACAGACTGGATTGATCGATGTGGCAGGTGCAGAGACGGGGAGGGAGTTGGCGAGGGGCACAAGCGGGCAGGCAAGTTGGCCCCACAGGCGGGCAGGCACCGATTGCGGCCTCTAAGGGCTCCCTGCTTTCCCAGGGCCTTCTCCAGGTGTGTCTCTTGAGCATCTGGGGAAGGAAGCTGCCTTACAAGGAATGCTTTAGCTTCTGAAACTTGAGCGGCTCCGGATCACGAAAGAAAACCAGATCTGGAATTTTATCGGTCTGCTGAACTGCCTCCTGGATGCCACCAGGGAGCTTCAGGGTCTGGTGAGAAAACGTTTTATTTAAAGGAACTGCCAAGGGCTCTGTGGCCACCTGAAAAAGGAGGTCAGTGGGGGCCAATGCCGGGGGGGGGGGCAGTCGAGCAGGGGGTCAGCAGCCTTACGCTCTTGCTCAGGGACGCTAACTGGACAAGTGGAATTGCTTGGGTGACTGGCTGGTAAAGAGGGCTTCTCTTGCCCAACTCTCAAGCTGGCACCTCAAGAAGAGGGTGTTGGAGGCACCCCGGCCAGCTGCCGCCCCAGCCCTGACACAAAACCCAGTGGGGCTCATCCTCTCGTGTGCCATGACGGGGGAGGCCCGCTGGAGCCCCCCTTCCCCACGGGGTCCCAGGAACGACGGCATGCGTGGAAAGAAGCACAACTCAAGCTTGGGCGGGGCGACCACAGCTGCCCCGCAGAGGGGCTGGGAAGGGCGAGCACAGCCAACGTCTTCGGCAAAGGTGGGAATGCAAACTCCACGGCTCCTGGCAAGAAGACCTCGGGCCGGTGTTGGCGAGGCCCAGCAGCCCCGCTGGACACAGTGAAGATGGACAATGGCCCCCAAGCCATCCTGCTCCGAGGGGCTTCCCTCCCTACTGCTGCCCGGCAGGGTCCTTAATTCCCTGGAGGATCCTCTTCACGTGGCCCACTTTTGATATTCCAAGTTCCTGCAGGGGGAGGGGGAGAGAAGAGGAGGCGCTCAGGGGAGCACCCTGCCACCCCCCCCCCAATCCAGCAGCCCTTCTCCTCCCAGCTCTTCCAGGCTCCTTTTGCACCACCAGGTGCTCTGTGCAAGGTGGGGAGGGGGTTTGACTTCAGAGCCCCACCTGGTTTGTTCTGCAGCCACCTTCATGCTGAGCTCCCACAGGGCCCCTCTCGCGAAAAAGCCCCCTCCCATTAAAGGAATGACTGCCCCCCCCCCCGCCTCCTGCAGGCAGGACTGCGCAGGGTACCTTCAGGTCTCTCCTCTCCAGCAGGATCAGCTCAGAGCCCTGGATGTCATGGCGCACAAAAAGCTCTTTGTATTCCCCTAAATCGAGGGCCTCCAGCCAGGCAGCCACCTCCTCAGGGCCCCAACTGTCCACTGGGGGGGGCAAAAAGGAAAATGACAGGCTGGTCGGTTGGTGAAGGAAGGGGAGGGAGGGAGGACCAGGACAGACAGGGTTGGGGGGGGGGGTGAAGACAGAGGCAGGCAGATAGCAGCCCAGGTGGAAGCAAGCTCAGGCAGCGGGGGACGGGGATCGCAAGGGAGGAAGAGCAGGAAGCTGGGGGGGGGGGAGCAGTGTGAGGAAAGGACAACTAGGTGGGGCTCGGCCCATCCAGCAGGCTGAACCCATAGCCAGACCCCCTTGAACCTGTGTGTGCTACGTCTTCCCCAGGATTCATGGACAGGTCCATGACACCTGCAGCCTCTCTGCCTACCCTGGGCAGGGACTCTGCACTTCTGGCCTTAGGGAATCTGTGCCCCCTCCAGATGGGCTCTGCCTTGCCCTGGGGAAGTAGCACCCAGGCCGCCAAGGGCTTCCTACCGACCCCCACCAGCTACGGGTGGGCTAGCTGGCCCCTCCCTAGGGCTCCTTTCTCCAGGTGCTGAGATGATGCGTCCTGCCCTTCTGGGTGCTGGGAGGGCCACCAGATTACCTGGGGTGACCCCGCCAGATCTCTGCTTTTGGAGCTTCTCCTTCTTGGGCTTCGCAAGGTTAATCCGTAGCTTCAGGCTGCCCTTGTTGCTGCTCCCAGGAGCCTCCGGGCCCATGACCTGCGAGGAGTAGAAACTGCTGCTCCGTTCCCTGCCTCCCATCCCAGGGCTTTGCCAGGGCACGGCAACCATCAAAGGGAGGCCGTGGCAACGGCAGATATGCCTCGGCTGCCTTCCCTGTGGCCTGGCTTGGGCACCCAGCACCTCTGTCGCCCAGCCGCCCTACCCTGGAGCCTCCAACAGGCAGGCCGAAAGCCAGCCCAGGGACTCCGGAGGCCTCCTTCCAAGGCAGCTGGTGGGTTCCTGCATGAAAAAGCAGCCGCAGGCCGAATGACTGGCTGCTGCTCTCCGGGAAGGTGTGCCCGGCTGTCCACGTGCCCACCTCCTCAACGGAGCTTGAGACAGGGGCCATCCAATGGACCTCAGAGAACCTCTGCAGCTCCTGGCTGACGGCGCCCAGGGCCTGGTGGAGGGCGTCCTCTTGCTGGGGAGAATCCAGCTGCTGTGAGAAAGGCTGGTGAGGAGGGCTGCCTTTGCCCCAAGAGAGGGCAAGGGGTGTGTGGGCCCGTCCAGCAGCCTCTGCCCCGCACTCACCTGCTTTCCTCCCAGGAAAGCCTGGGTTTCGGTGCTCAAGGCCTTCACGCTGACGGACACCTCCACAGCCAGGCTCCGGCTAACCAGCTGCAGTCCCCACCCCGGCAGGAAAGAAAGGAGTCAGCGGGGGCTGGCAGGGAAAGGCAGGCCACCAGCAGCCGGGGCTCAAGGGAGAGAGGTCGAGGGAGCGTCCCCAGCCCTGGCGGAGGGTCCTTCCACGCCCGCCCCCCACGGAGCAGCTCCCCACTCTCACCTCCGGGGCCCCACTGCTGCTCTTGCAGGCCAAGACCTCGCTGAGGGCCAGCGAGCTGCTGTTCACGGCATGGGCCAACTCCTGCTCCATGCCTCTGCGGGACTTGGCAGCCTCTCGGATCCTGCAAGGGGCAGAGGAAATGGCCTCTCAGCCACAGAGGGGACTTCAACCCCTCCCCCCCATACTTTGGCCCCTGTTGAATGCGGGAGAAAGCAAATCCTGGGGGTCGGGAGTCCACACCCCACACATTGGCCAAGAATGCAAGCAGGGAGGCTGAGCAAAGCGGGGGCAGATGGCGAAGGTCCTTCTGCCCGGAGCTGTGCGGGACTCCCTCCTCCTGCCCCCCAACTCTTCTAAGACCTGGTGAGGGAGGCTGGCCTGAAAGTGCGCTTCGCCCGCAGCGGCCCCCAAGGCCTCCCTGTCGCCCATGGTGGGGAACAGAGGCAGCGTCAGTCACAAAGGCATCCCCCCCCCCACAAGCCCCGTGGCCCAGGAAGGCTTCTAGGGCAGCCTGTGCTGGTTTGCGGGTCTGGCGTGGTTGGCACCTGCTAATGAGGGTTTCAGTGGCTCGGACCAGCTGCTGCATCTGGGCTGCCTCCTCCTCCACCAGGTACTCCATGGACTGCTGGGAGCTGAGCCGCGGCCGGGATGGGGCTCGGTAGGCCTCCCCCTTTTGCTTGTCCTCCCACGATTTCAGGGTGCTCTCAAAGGCCTGCAGGGACACGGGTTGGCCATGGCTGAGAAGAGCAGGGCTGGGGTCCCTCCCGACAGTGGGCCAAGATGCTCAGAGCCCACAGGCCTGGCCCTCTCTCTGAGCCGACACCCCAACAATTTAGCCAGATGCCCAGGGGACCAATGGGTTGCTCACCCTGTCCCTGGTCAGCATCTGGGCCCGGTTCTTGTGCTGGATCTTGATCATCCCTGGGGGTTGTATCCAGGCCTCTCCGTCCACTTGCACTGGGACCCCTTCGTCTCCCCGAATCGTGATCTTCACCATCCGGCACTGGGGAGGGAAAGGCCCAATGGGAAATGCCTGACCTCCACGTGGAAGAGCCCCAGGCGGCCCCGGAAGCGGGCCCTGCACAGGCCCTCTCTCACCTGGGCAATGCGGTGGTGCTGCAGGTTGATGACCCGAGAGACCGCCATCTGGATGCTCCCAAAAACAGCCACCACCTCGAGCTTCTTGTCGTCGAAGGAGGGAGCTCCGAAATTCTGGCAGGGAGAAGACTGAGCATCAGTGAGCCGAACCCGTTAGAGCAGGGGTCCCCAACCGCCGGTCCGCGGACCGGTACCGGTCCGCGGAACAAGTCTTACCGGGCCGCTGGTTGCTGGGCGCCGCCATCTTTTTTTGATAAAAAAGTGCTTCCGGTGAGCTTTTCCGGGTAGAAAGCACTTTTTCGTCAAAAAAAGATGGCGGCGCCCAGTTGATGCCGGTACCGGGCCGCGGCGCCCAGCTGATGCCGGTAC